GACAGAGCTTGTATTTTTTTCCTTCCTTGTAATTAATTACAGGAGAAGATTCAGAATATCTGACTAGAACTTTTTGTTAGGTGTGAAATGTAATTAAATTTTACAGACTTTTTAAAAACTGAAATCACTCCTTTCATTGCTATAGAGACAGGGTAAAGACAAATTCACATAAGAAGACAGAGCAGACCCACAGAGAAAAAGCAGATGTAACACAGGAGCAGCAATCCTCCACCAGGTTGCAAATTTTGCTTTGCGTAGGCCAAAGAGCAGCTACCAGGAATGAGGTGTTTCTCTGAGGGCCATCTCCCATTCAGTGACCCGGAAGTTTTATGATATTAATGCCACCTTCAGCAACATTAACTTTTGCCAGTAGCCCCTTAACTTTTTTCTTGCAGAGGCAGAGCTCAGTATCAGCCAACATCCAACAGTGTCAGACCCAGCTAGTTCTCTTTGTTAACTGTAGCTTACATGAAAGATTGTGAAGCTGTTGGGAAAGATAAGAATTCTCCCACGCAGAATCAGTGGGATTAAGGGCACAGACCTCCAGCACCCCCCTTGCTACCAGATTTGACACAGCACTCAATCTTTCCTTCAGCCAAGACAGGGCGAAGGCTACACAAAGACAGCAGTGCAAGGGGACAGACTGCAAAAGGAACCTAGGAGGAAGTGTATAAGAGCACCCGGTTTGGAAGTCTGGTTTTCAGACCCTTTAAAGCAGTACTTGTAGAAATCTCACGTCTCCGATAAGATTTCTAGTCTGTAACCTCTTCTAATGGAAGACAATGTGGCAGTTGCATTTAAAACCAAACATCCATCACTATTCTGACTAGATATTGAGCAGGTAAAGTCAATATCCTCAATAACAATTACCAACATGAGTTTGAAGCTCTACTCTTTCCAGGTTCTCAGCTACTGCATTGTTATCCTGTTAAAAGTCTGGTTTTGCTTAGTACATCAGGGCTTAATACATCAGGGCTGATGTATACAAGTTGAAATGCTTGTCAGAATCTTTTACTTACTACTGAGTATACAAAACTATGCAACCAATGAGATCTGGCTTTAGAAGTAATTTCTATCTTTTTTCTTTGTGTCTAACCTTTGCCTCCTTTTCTCTTGAGTCTGTCTTCTCTTTCCACGAAGAAAACATTTTTTTTTTTTTCTTGGTACTGGGTATCTCAAGAACTTCACTTAGCTTTGCCTACTGTATCTAAGTGGATGCATTTCTACAGTTCTAGGCCGCTACAACGTGTGGTCCATAGAACGGACTGAGTGAGCTATTTCATTGGACATATCTGCTCCTAAAGCCAGCAGCTTCCAAGATGACTTCCGGAAAATGTATCAGAAAGCCAGATATGTTTGCTTTAACCTGTCTGGCCATTTCCTTTAGCAAAGATAGTCCCCACTGCTGTTGGCTGCTCAAGTCAGCTCCCTCTGAAGGGAAAGCTTTCTGCAGCCTAGTCTAACGGAAAATACAGAGCAACAGCAGTGCATCCTGCTCCAACCAGTCTTCCTCACCAAGGAAACAAACCAGGCACTCTGGAATAATCCACATTGTTTGAGTATTTAGCCTCTTAAAAACAATTTCTTCATATGCCCTGTGCTGTAAAGAACAAGTTTTACAATAACTGAGTAGGAAATGACGCCAGTTTATCAATTTCTCCCCTCTCCCAGGATTTTTTTACTTTTCTGCTCTTCTGATGATGTATTTTATACCTCCTTCTACAAGATACCAGGGGTCTCTTCTTGTTTGATTTTTATCGTATCTCTAGTAAAAGCATCACAGGCAAAAAAAAAATAAAGAAAAAAACAACAAATAGACATCAAAAGAGTATGTCTTACAAAGAAACAAAATACTTTTCTCTATTCCAGACGAATTTACCTTATATACTTAGAAATATTAACATGTAGCATCTAAACAAATGAGTTTTCTGACAACTTTCTCAGTAATAAATCAATAATCTAAGTGATGTAGAAACAGAAAAATGTATCTTTAATGAAAAATGGACATTGCTTATAGGACAGAATTATAATACACTAGTCTATATGACATACTCATCTTGGATTATTAAACCCTGGCAAGAATTTCTGTTGGAAAAAACACCCCAAACCCTACACTTGAAATAGATGTTGAAGAGAGTGTTTCTATCACTGATTAATAAAAGCATAATTACAATATATATTCAGTGCCAAAACAGAAATAGCACATGCAGCATTTCTTATATTGAATATAAATAGAATTAATGTTATTTTGTTAAGAATCCAGGCTCCACTTGCTGTATCCTGGGCATAAAGCAAAAATGCCTACCGTGAAAAGTTCATGGTCTCAGGCTTTCATGCTGACTTAACTATTTGTTTCCAGCCTAGGACATTGTACTGGTTTTGGCTGGGATACAGTTAATTTTCTTCATGGTAGTTTGTATAGTGATGTTTTGAATTTGTGATGAAAACAATGTTGATAAACCAGGGATCTTTTAGCTGTTGCTGAGCAGTGCTTGCACAGCATCAAGACCTTTTCTGCTCCTCACCTCACCCCACCAGTGACCAGGCTGGGGGTGCACAAGGATTTGCGAGGGGACACAGCCGGGACAGCTGACCCCAACTGACTAAAGGGAAATTTCATACCATATGACATCAGGCTCAGCATATAAAGCTGAGGGAAGAAGGAAGAGGGGGACATTTAGAGTGATGGCATTTGTCTTCCCAAGTAACCGTTACGTGTGATGGATCCCTGCTTTCCTGGAGATGGCTGAACACCTGCCTGCCGATGGGAAGTAGTGAATGAATTCCTTGTTTCACTTTGCTTGTGCACTTGGCTTTTGCTTTACCTATTAGACTGCCTTTATCTCACCCCACAAATTGTCTCACTTTTACGTTTCCAATTCTCTCCCCATCCCACTGGGAGAGAGTGAGCGAGCGGCTGTGTGGGGCTGCCTGCCAGGTTTAAACCACAACAGAGATTAAAATTAGTTTCCCTCTTCTCACTTCTATCATCAAATCTGTGGGAGACGTCATAAGAGAATCCAGCATTCATTGGTTTTATTCCGATCTCTTATTCCTAGGATTTTCCTCTTTCAAGTTCATGCTTTTTTTGAATATGCTTAAAACTTGAGATAAAATAAAGGTAACGCATTTCAATTACTCCTGTAATTGTTGGCTGGGCCAATGTTTACTCAATGTTCATACAAACTACAGCTATCTCCAGCAGCATGAGAGACAACAGAGCATGACACAGCGCGGATGTCTCCACAATCTGCACTTTTTTGAGGCTTTGAACTCCGGTGCTAACTTTAACTTTTCTTTGCTTTAATTTTTGTCAAGGAAATGGTGAAGTCTTAGCTTCATAAGATTTCAAGAGACTAGATATGAACTCTAAAACTAAGATAAATTAAAAAATGAGTGACAACTCAAACTCCCTAAAAAAAGGGAGATTCATAAAGCATCATAATGTTATGGACTAAAGGGTTTAGAGTTGGGCACTTGAATCTGACTCTCAAAAGTATTTAGACATTTATAACCACAAGAGTACAAATCATTGAACTTTTTGACTTGTGATTCCTCTGCCATTGGTAAATTGGTTGCCAACAAGGCAACACCAATGGCAGAGGAATCACAAGGAATATACCGCTATCACATCCTTTCATGCTGACTTAATTATTTGTTTCCGGCCTAGGACATTGTACTGGTTTTGGCTGAGATACAGTTAATTTTCTTTGTGGTAGTTTGTATAGTGATGTTTTGAATTTGTGATGAAAACGATGTTGATAAACCAGGGATGTTTTAGCTGTTCCCTAAAGAATGTTCCCTCTGGCTCCCAAGAAGGACCGAGTAATTATTGAAGCCAGGGAAACTACAGTAACCATAAAGCTGGACATGTGTCCAGTCCAAGCAACCATGATCAACACTTTCAGAGAACTGATCTCAAGTGAATTTCAGCACTGGTGGCTTTATACTAAAAGGAAGTGACAATTCACAGTGCTCATGGAAGTAAGTATTTTCAATAAAGAATGCTACAATACTGATTTCACTCCTGATTCAGGAAAAGCAAGTATTGATTTGAAGCTATGCCTTTACCTTAGTACCAAAGATTTCAATTCTTTATTATTTTTTTAAACTGAATTAAATATTACAAAATATATATATAGGCAAGGTTCTATGATCTCTAGTGCATGTTCTACAGTAAAATCCTTGACCAGCTAATGACTCAAGCAGGCTCCCTGCCAGAACGTCACATGTAAAGAAGTTTTTTACCTCCACTTCACTGGTTCAGGAGCACAGCCTCCTCCTTCACCAAATTCATGACTGGATAAATGCTTTTTTTGTAGTGTGCTCTTGAGGTGGCTGAAACCAGGCTGTTTGCAACTCTATTTTGGTTATGCTTAAGGACCTTCTTGAAGCTAAGTATATGTTGAATAAAGATGATTTAGGAAGAAGTACTGTATTCTTTAAGTACAGTGTTTTATCATTTTTTAAAAGTTAAGTTCTTCTGGATGTTACACTCCTGCTAGAGAAAGATAGCAATTCAGCAGCCATGCATTACCTGAAGATGTTATACTTAAGTCTCAGCTCATTACCACTGACATTTTGTTTGAGGAAATTACCTTTCAAAAGGTTGTAAGATAGGGCTGTCAGCCATTGTCAGAGAGAGGAACTTGAACAAGTTAGCAAAGAATTCTCGGAATGCTTAAGGGAATAAAAAAATTGCATTCTAAAATGTGCTTGACATTCACATTTTCTACTTTAGCTTATCTTGAAAAATATCCAGATAGTCATTTCAGCGTACTCACCTCAGCTAGGTAAAATTCATCATATTGTCTCTTGAAATTTTCTCCTTTGTAGTAGTTACTAGCAGCAACAATCACATCTACAGCCACCATGCTTAGTATGAACATATGAAACACAGATGACCTCATCATTTTCTGCAAAAGAAAAAGAAAATTTTATCATCAAAATGAGTCAAACCAAATGCATTATAAAGTTTTATTACACTGTCAAAACACAATCAGCTATAATAATATGTTTTTACAAAACTTCTTTACATGATTCTAATTTATTACTCTTTAAGGTATATTCTAATACATTGCTTCAACTGGCTTATATGTGCAAGTTGTTGGGTTTTTTTTCAGTTTTTTATTTGCCAATTGACTTCTTACTGAAAGTTTATCATTTAGTATGATATCCATTGCTTTAGTACTTTTTTAAAGTGTAAACCGTATTTCTGTCTACTCAGTTGTCCTTGGTTAATCCTTCTTCATTATGATTTATTCATGCAGATCTTAATGACTTACTGTTCAGGAACAAGTAACATCAATTCTATCTGATGCATTGCTTTTGCTCAAGAAAGACAAGTCATACAGGATTCGTCTGATGTCAAACTATTGCCTAAAAGTATAAAACATATCTACATAAAGTAGATATGCACAGCTGAGCCAATGAACTGTGAAGTACTTCACAGATAATTTACATATCTGTGCACTTAATGCTTTGTGTCACTGCTGCTGCAATCCCACAGGAGAAAAGAGAAATAGAGTTATACAGCACGGGCCAGGAGTTTACCATGAGTTGACGAAACAGCAGTGATAAGAGATACACCACAAGTTCAAAGAACTAACTTCTAGGCCCCCACTACAAAGAGCGTGGCCTTACGATTTACCCTTAAAACTTAACCACTGCCCTCACTGGGCCAGCCACAGCTGTTCCAGTAGAAGCTAGAGTCAAACAGGCAGAATGTAGTGTTATTTTACATTAAACCAATCAACATTTTTTACAATCTGTCAAAAATAATTCCATTTATGTCTTTAATGCTTATTTGCAAACACAGCATAAGCTATGCATCATTATGGTTCCTTATGTTTGTGTGTAAATTTAAGCTGTGTTCACATTGGAAAAGGCCATTTTTATTTGCTCCTGAGTTTATATGCAAAAGTGCCTGACAAAATTTCTGGAAAAATGAAACTTAAAATATAGAAGAACTCTGCCTCTTCTC